CACAATCTTGCTCACTGCAACCTCTGCTTCCCGGGTTCAAGAGATTCTCCTGCCTCAGCCTCCTGAGTAGTTCTGACTTTAGGCATATGCCACTGTACCTGGCTAATTTTTTTTGTTAGTATTATTATTTTTTTAGTATAAACAGGGTTTCACCATTTTGGCCAGGACAGTCACAAACTCCTGACCTCAGGTGTTCTTCCCACCTTGGCCTCCCGAAGTGCTGAGATTAGGTGTGAGCCACCATACCCGGTCCCAATGGCAACTTTAAAAATGTTTTTGTAGATGTGAACATTACTCATGAGCAGAGGTTGCTCTGCCTTGTGATCGATGTCAGTTGCTACCAGGATTTAAGTCTAGCCCTGACATTTCTCTTTCTGTCTCAGCTCTCCCATGTGTAAATGGACATAATAAGAATCCCATCCTCACGGGGGTATCAGGAGGAATAGATATAGCAATTGGTGCAGTGCCTGGCCCATAGTAAGCAATCAAGTCTTGATAATAATACTTTAGTTGTATTTCTCATTATCATCATTGTGGTGGGGTATCGAAAGAGAACATTTAAAGGGGTCAGGAAAGGGAGTCTCCACTGGTTGCTGGTGGCGGTGAGAAGGCCTGAACTGGCTCTTCGTAAGCAGGTAGAGGGAAGGCAGAGAAGCTATGCCTGTGGTCAGCATTTGGTTCTTGGCAAGCCCATCCTCTGGTGTTTGTGGTGTGCGTTTATTCACAGGACGGATCCTGGAGCTGCGTCTCCCTGAGGAGACAGAATCCATCACTCCAAAAGTGGCCTCAGCAGGGAGATTTCCAGGGTTTACATTGTTTCTTCTACTTTCAGGCTTTTTTTTTTTTTGGTTTTTCACTGAGAAGATGATATTACAACAACCCAGAAAGAAGTAAATCACCATCATTCCAACATCCACCTGGGCTGTTTTGTTAGTTGCTCTTCCCCCATGCCTGTGTTTTGACATCGATGTAGACGTTTTATTTATTGTAGCATAAGCATTTTTCCTTGTTGCTACACAGTCTTCATAATGCTATTTCCCGATGTGATGGTTTCATCAAGGGATGCCACATCTCTCACGAAACCGTTCCCACTGCTTTGCGGCAACTTCTTCATGAATATCGTGTTTTGCTTTCGCTGATTTATTTCCTTAGGATATACTCTCCAGAGTAGGAATTTTTAGTCAAAGGATAGAAATGTCTTATTTACAGCGTTTTACAGGAATAAGTCATTGCATCTTTCTTTTGTATGTCAATCTGTATTTCCTCAAAGCAAAACCACTTGAGGATGCGATCAAACGTCTGGTGAAGTGTTCAAGACTCGTGCTCCAACAGACCATTCATAAACGTATCCTCTGACCATGTCATGAATGCTTTTTTGAAAACCAGAATTTCTCTGAGCTCTTGCCACCCCTTCCCCCAGACTTCAACTTCTCCTTCCCAGTACTTCTAGAAGGGAACTCGCCCAAAGTCTCTGGTCCTTTCTCAGAAACTCATCCTTTATTTACTTTTAGGATCAGGACTCATTTGCATATGTAAAACCAGGACCATATCATTTGCAGATGCTGGGGGTGCTGCCAGATAATTGAATGCTTTTAAGTCATTTTTACAAACCTGGACACAAAGGAATATTTTCTTAGGATTAAAAAATAAAAAAAAAAGAACATGAAGTAAAGATTGTGAGACTGGGTTTCTAATTCAAACATTTCACTTTGTATTCATAGGAGTCAGGACACAGAAAGTGAGGGGCCTGGAGGTGGGGGATGGGAGGGGTCCAGGAGAGAAAACTTTGCAGATCTAGTAAAACAAAAGCACAAGAGGAGTTAGGATAGATGGCCAAAGAAAAGCAATCCCAGTAACTTGTCATCCCGTCTGCTAGCATTAACAGTACATTTTTTTCTTCCATCAATAGTTTACCACCTAGCTTTTTAGTTTAAGGTGAGAGGAGCTGAAAAGTAATTGTGTTTCTTATCGGTAGTTGATAAAGTCCTCCTCCCCCTTCAGGACAGAGGTTCAGATGTGATAGCAGTAGCCCTAGTGTGACAGCAGCTGTTAAAGGCGAATTGTTTTTGGCATGAAATGCTTTTGTTTAAAAAATGAAATTAGTGTGGAAGTCTTTCCTGTCCTGTCTAGCACTGATAAAAACAGATGAGAGCTTCTTACACAGATTGCCAGGCATAAACTAAAATGTTGGGTTTCTTCGTACATTTTGAAATATGCTTTCATATCTGCGAATACAATGGGGAAAAGAGTGAGTTCTGGCTGGGTGTGGTGACTCATGCCTGTAATCCCAGCACTTTGGGAGGCTGAGGCAAGAGGATCGTTTGAGCGCAGGAGTTTAGGACTGGCCTGGGTAACATAGTGAGACCCCCATCTCTACCAAAAAATTAAAAATTAACTGGGTGTGGTGGTGTGTGCCTGTATTCCCAGCTACTCAGGAGGCTGACGTGGGAGGATTGCTTGAGCCTGAGAGGTGGAGGCTACAGTGGGTGGAGATTGCGCTACTGCACTCCAGCCTGGATGACAGAGTGAGACTCAAAAAAAAAAAAAAAAGAGTGAGTTCTGAGGTCCAGCTCAAGCCTACAGCTTCTGCAGGGGCCCCACGTTCAACTGGGACCAGTGTGGCTACTGTGCTCCGCTCTGTGCAGAAGCTTCAACCCCTCATGGACTCCAGCCCTGCTGGAAGTGGGGATGAGTGGCGGCAGTGTCTGCTGCTCCTGGGTGGAACACCTCTCACTCATGGGCTGCTGGGGGCCTCTGGAGGCTGGGGGCTGGCCCAGGCTGCTCACAAGGACACTGTGGGATAGCTGGGTGGCTCCAGTCGAGAGCAGGAGTGAGTGGCAGTTCCAATCCCTGGGGGTAGCTGAGAGCCTGGCATCCAGACGCCTCGCCAGGTTCCAATTTATAGGGCAAGCCAAGGAGCTGCAGAGCCAGGGATGGGGAGTGCAGTGATGATGGAGAAGTGAGTGCACCTAAAGGCACCCCCTGGAGCACCCTCTGGCTACCCTGGTATTGCTGTCACCACGGTAACCTCCTCCGTTTTAGGATCAGCATAGCCCTCTGTGCCCATGTGTAAAATGAAGATGAAGTGGGAGGTGGAGTGGAACTCTGAAGTGCCTTTCTGGTGGCTGGAGGTGCCCTGGTGAAGTCTTCCGGTCCTGGGCTGTTCCAGCCAGAGTCAGACAGGGCCTGGCTGGGGTCACGTCCTCTGCGCAGATTCCAGGCTTGGTAGTCAAGAGTTCAAGACCAAAGGGTGCCCTTCTCCCCTTCTCTAAAGCAGTGCATAAAAACTACTGTTTAATGTTTGAACTTGAAGCCCTCATTCGGATTGTAGCATGACACTGTTCGCTCAGGTTAGCACAGATTTGTGCTCTGCTTTGTTTTGCTTTTAGGGGGATTTTATTTTTTTATTTATTTTTTTTTTTATTTTTTTATTTTTTTTTTTTGCCTCCTAGAGAAAGGTTAAGACTGTGTGTCTTCACTGGGACTCAAGTCCTGGCTAGTTTCGGGATTGGGGCCAATTGCTTCATTCCTCTAAACCTAGATGTAGGATGTGGGACAAATTTTCTTTTCCAAGCCTGCGTTCCTCATCTGTGAGGCAGGGACCATTTGTTCTGGCCTCAGGGGTGCCTGTAGGGTTCCATCGGACCACAAGTGTGCCAGAGCTGTTCTTGCGAGTTAGCATTGCAGGGGAGCTGTGCCTTTTGACCCTCTTTCTGTGGTAATTCTTTTCCTTTCACCCAAATCTAGCACAGGGCTGGGCATGTGTAGGGATTCTTGTTAAATTTTACTGAACCAAATTTTCTAGACCAAGGATCCCCACTGGGAAGAAGAAAGAAAAATGAAAAACAGAAAAACAACAACAAAAAAAGGAAAATGCTTTCATCAGGACGATTCAGTCCAGGCCATCAGGTCCCAGGCCCGTGGGGTGAGAGGGGCTGCAGCCACGGGGTTTCAGGACGTCCCAGCTGTGAATGGGATGGCCTTGCACGTGCAGAAGGCTGCCTGGAGGACTAACTTTGATCTGCCCTCCCAGGCCTCCCTTGGCCCCAGCCTCCCTCCCTTGAAGGCTGGTGGTCACTGTGGCTTTTCCTTGACATGCAGGACACAGTTTCTGTCGTCATTGTTGTTGCTGTTGTTGTTGCTTTTCTTTTTTTTTGAAACGGAGTCTCACTCTGTTGCCCAGGCTGCGGTGCAATGGCACGATCTCAGCTCGCTGCAGCCTCCACCTCCCAGGTTCAAGCAATTCTTCTGCCTCAGCCTCCCGAGTAGCTGGGACTACAGGCTGCAGCACCACGCCCAGCTAGTTTTTGTAATTTTAGTAGAGACGGGGTTTCACCCTATTGGCTAGGCTGGTCTTGAACTCCAGGCCTCATGATCCACCTGCCTCAGACTCCCAACGTGATGGAATTACAGGCATGAGCCACTATGCCTGGCCCCTGTCATTTTTAGCTCTTGGTATTATATTTCAAAATGCTGGGCCTGGTGCGTTTGGCTCACGCCACACTTTGGGAGGCCACGGTAGGTGGATCACTTGAGGTCAGGAGCTCAAGACCAGCCTGACCAACATGGTGAAACCTCATCTCTACTAAAAATACAAAATTAGTGGGGTGTGGTGGCAGGTGCCTGTAATCCCAGCTATTCAGGAGGCTGAGGCAGGAGAGTCACTTGAATCTGGGAGGTAGAGGTTGCACTCCAGCCTGGGCGACAGAGTGAGACTGTCTCAAAAAAAAGAAAAGAAAAGACAAAGAAAATGCGCTAGCAAAGCAGAAACCTGCCCCCTTCTTTTCAGGGACTCACCGGTAACTGTTCAGTGTTTTCGTTTGTTTTTCTTCATTCTAAAATTCCATATAGAATGTAATGATCTTTTGAGAAATGGCTTGGAAGACACCCCCAGCACTGTGGATGGTTTACCTACATTTGTTTTTGCTGATGTTTCCACTTTTACCCCTCTCTGTTCTGAAACTCATTCTCTCTGTTCTTTTTTTTTCTTGCCGGTTCAGAAGTTGGACGGACTGGTGAGGCTCCGAACTGCTCGAGAAGCCCCATCTGAATGTGTCTGCCCCCCAGGTAAGTGGAGGTTGGGCTCCCTTCTGGCTCCTGACTTGCGCCGTTTGCTTGGGATTGCTGAGAACAGCATGGTCCAGAAGATCGACTGGGGTCAGGCTGTCGTATTCATGCACCGTCCTAAGGCATTTCTTCCCATGCTGTCTCTGGCAGGCTCTTTGGTCACTTTCCAGCAAAGTGAACTGACTCAGCTTGCTGGGTGGTATTGGTGGAGGAGCTAAGACATTGTTAGAGATGACTTAGCTGCCTAAAGACTTAGATGGTAGGGGCCGGGTGTGGTGGCTCACGCCTGTAATCCCAGCACTTTGGGAGGCTAAGGCAGGCGGATCACAAGGTCAGGAGTTCAAGACCAGCCTGGCCAACATGGTGAAACCCTGTCTCTACTAAAAATAGAAAAGTTAGCCAGGCGTGGTGGTGGGCACCTGTAGTCCTAGCTACTCAGGAGGCTGAGGCAGGAGAATTGCTTGAACCTGGGAAGCGGAGGTTGCAGTGAGCCAAGATCACTCCATTGCACTCCAGCCTGGGTGACAGAGCAAGACTCTGTCTCAAAAAAATAAATAAATAAATAAAGTTAGCTGGGTGTGGTGGTGCACACCTGTAATCTCAGCTACTAGGGAAGCTGAGGCAGGAGAATGGCTTGAACCCAGGAGGCAAAGGTTGCAGTGAGCCAAGATCATGCTGCTGCAGTATAGCCTGGGTGACAGAGCAAGGCTTCGTCTCAAAAAAAAAAAAGAAAGAAAGAAAGAAAAATAACAGACTTAGACTGTAGGGAGGTGGCAGCTGGCCCATTTCGAAGATGGAGAAAGGGGTGTGAACTGATGGGATGTGAACTGACAGGAGACGACAGCCCGGAGTCCCAGTCACCCCGCCGGACCAGTGTTGCGACCAGAGCGCTATGTCAGACGTGCCGCAGGTAGATAAACAGTCTGGCGGACGTGGGCTTCTTGTTTTCATTTCTTTCGGTGGAGGCAGAGGGGGGAAACAGAGAACAAGGTCTGAATGATTGAAACGATCATGGACTTTCTTTGGTTTTGCTGGTGAAGACCAAGATGGCTATGAATGAAACCAGAAATTGTTGCCTCCTAATCCATGTGGCTCAAATCCAGACTTAGAACAGGTCTCCTGGCTGTCCTCAGCAGGGCTTTGTACAGGCCAGGACCCCGTGTGTGGTCTCTAACGCTGGAGTTTTCAGGGTTGGAATGACCTTGCCTTAGGATGGTGTCTAATATCAGTGAATGAGTGGAAAATTGCGATGTATCTCTGACTTCTCGACGTGTAGAAAGGTGACGTTTGTTATTGGTCCTGAGAACACGGGAGCTGCACAGTGTCCCTTGTCCTCACTGTCATTCCTTCCATTAGCCAAGTGGTCCAGAAACTAAACTCGCTGATAACATCCCAGGGTTGGGAGATGCCCCGGGATTTCTGCAAAGGTGGATCTCATGGTGTAAAAATTCTGTCTCCGAGGGCTGAGTGGGAGAGGATTTTTGTGGTTGAGCTTGAGCTAGCCTTTATAGGACCCCTGAAGTTTTAATAAGAGAAAGAGGATTTGACACGGGAATGACTCCATTCACAGATCAGTAAGTCAGAAATTGCAATTAAATGGGAGGAAAAAAAATCACATCCACAGATGGATTTTTGGTTGATCTGTAAGATGGGAACTATTCTTCTTTTTCTTCCCCCTCTTTCTGAGTGTTGTTTGGATGCATACCCCATGTGTGTTCTTTGAACTGGGCGTCACACCCCATTTGTGAGATACCAAATCAGTTTAGTGGGTTGCTGTCAGCAACCACTAGTGTGAAACTGTGAACTAGCAGAGAAGACTGGAATAAAAAATGCCCAAGTGAAATTTTGGTTTTGGCTATTTATATCTGCAGATTGGACATGGATGACATGAGATGGGTTTCTTGCTGTGGATTACTGACAGAGGCTTCAAAGTCTCCAAGACTGATGATGGATGGACAGTGGGAGAAGGGGGGCCGCAAGCTGGCATGGAGCTCCTGGATCCATCAGAAGTGGGGCCCCATCTTGGGTCTGCCCCTTGCTAGCCCTGAGAGTCTTTATCAGTAAAGATAATATCTTGAAGCAGGCTCTTGGGGGGGCTTTCTGAGGTTATGGAGAAAGTATAAGTTAGTCAGTGACTACAGATGGGCTGTGTGCTGCCTTCCCTCAGGAGCAGGGCACAGGGAATGGGGGTCCTGAACTCCTCTGGAAAGAAGCCCCAAGAAGGTCTTGGGAAACCATGGGGGCTGAAAGGCTGGTGGAAGCGTCCAGTCCCACTGAGAGGAAGGCATGGTAGACTGCCCTACTCCCTGGGGAGCCCCCGCTGGCCATCAGCATTGTGCTGATGCTGTCCCAGGGGCCACAGGCTATGATGGAGGCCGTCCTGGCAGGTGTGGTCAGTGTGGTCCTGGGGTGCAGGACAGTGACCCCAGCCCAACCCCTCTGCACACCTGTGTCTACGCCTGCACTTTCTCTCCTGTCACCTTGCGTCTGAGCACTTGCTTGAGCCCTTTGGACTGGAGCCCTCATTGACGCAAAACCCCAGCAGGCAGGCACATGAGCCCCTTGTCATATAAAGAACAGAGGCCCTGGGCCGGGCATGGTGGCTCAAGCCTGTAATCCTAGCACTTTGGGAGGCCGAGGCGGGTGGATCACGAGGTCAAGAGATTGAGGCCATCCTGGCCAACATGGTGAGACCTCATCTCTACTAAATACACACACACACACACACACACACACACACACACTCTCTCTCTCTCTCTCTCTCTCTCTCTCTCTCTCTCTCTCTCTCTCTACCTGGGCATAGTGGCCTGCACCTGTAATCCCAGCTACTTGGGAGGCTGAGGCAGGAAAATCACTTGAACCTGGGAGGTAGAGGTTGCAGTAAGCCGAGATCATGCCACTGCACTCCAGCCTGGTGACAAGGTGAGACTTCATCTCAAAAAAATTAAAAAAAAAAAAGAACAGAGGCCCTTGTCTCTAACACCAGAAGCCTTAACTCATTTATCTTTCCCAGGCTCCAAGGCTCCAAGGCTTCAGCGTGTCCCGTGGGCTTTTGGAGTGTGGAGACGCAGACCACCTTCTGCAGTGGGGCTTCCAGGCTGATTAGAGCTGGCCACAGCTCTCTGTGCGGTGGCCCGGGGAGTCAGCAGAATCTTTTGTTGGATCCTAGCGTGCAGCAGGCAGATCAGCAAGGCCAGAGGAGGCATGGCTCTTCTGGGTGTGCCATCCATGGCAAGGCTGAGCCTGGTGGCAGGGGCTTCTCTCTCGCCCCAACCAGTGGATATTACTGGCAGGAGGACTGGGAGGGGGCCAGTGTGAGCTGGCTCTAGCGAGCCTTGCACCCCTCCTCAACGAAATAGTATAGTAGGTTGAATCCTGTCGGCCTTAAAAGGTATGTCCAAGTCCTACCCCCAGTACCTCTGAATGTGACCTTGGAAAATAGGGTCTTTGCAGGTATCATTAAGGATCTCAAGGTAGAATAGGTCATCCAGCATTTAGGGTGCATCTACATCCAGTGCCAATTGTCCTTAGAAAAGGCAAGAAGAGATTTGAGACAGAGTTGCACAGACCAGGGAGCTAGGTGATGGCAGAGTGGGGATTGGCATGCCGCATGTGCCAGCTAAGGAATACCAAAATGCGGGCACCACCAGAGCTATGGAGGGGCATGGGAGGGACGCTCCCTGAGGAACCCACCCTGCAGACGCCTTCTGGCCCCTGGAACTGGGAGAGCTTGTGGTAATTTGTTGCCACGGCAGTCCTGTGTCTTTTTTATTTTATTTTATTTTACTTTACTTTACTTTTTATTTTATTTTATTTTATTTGACAGAGTTTTGCTCTTGTTGCCCAGGCTGGAGTGCAGTGGTGCAGTCTCGGCTCACTGCAACCTCTGCCTCCCAGGTTCGACTGATTCTCCTGCCTCAGCCTCCTGAGTAGCTGGGACTACAGATGCCCGCCACCACATCCGGCTAATTTTTGTATTTTTAGTAGAGACAGGGTTTCACCATGTTGGCCAGGTTGGTCTGAAACTCCCGATCTCAAGTAATCCACCCACCTTGGCCTCCCATGAGGGAGGCATGAGCCACCACGGAAGAGGCATGAGCCCATTTCAACTAATTTCAATTTAAAGTAGTATCTCCTTTTTTTTTTAAAAAAAAACTCCGCGGGCATCCTGCATTATCCCACATCGTTTTGCATGGGCTGCCTCTTTCCATTTGCCATTTCCCTTTGAGGTGAGGTGGTCTGTGCCTGTCTGTGTATCAGCGGTAGGTGCTGCCTTGTTTTGGTCCAGGGATGGAATCTGGGCGTGCTGTTGCGATGCCCTGTAATGCACTTGGCCAGTCCCCACAAGGATGTCTGGGTCATTTCCAGCCCTGTGTTGTTCACACAGGGCTGCATTTGTTGTGTGCTGGAGGGGAGGCAGCCTGCTGTGTAGCCTGCCCACCACCCCCCCCCCCACCCCGCCCGGACTTCCTCGTGCTTTGTTTTGCCAGGCATGCTGCAGGCCCGAGGGTGTTGGCTGAAGGACAGCAGGAGCCCTCAGTCTGTGGGGAGAGGCTGGGCTTAGTGCAGCAAACATGGGCCGCTGCAGGGAGGGCTCTGGCCAGGTGGGCCCTGAGGTCTGGCCCTGGGAGCTGCCCCATGGCCCAGCCTCCACTGTGCTGTGAACAGTCGTGACTCAGGGGTATCCCAAGAAACAGGTGAGGGTCAGCACCATGGGGCCTGGGAACCTGGACTTGAATCTTGACTCTGCCTTGTAAATAGCTACCTTGTGGTCCCAGCTGTGTGTCCTGAAGCCATGGGTCGTGCTGGCCAGTGCAGTAACTCACTCTTTGGGTTACAAGCATCAGAATATTAATTAGTGTTCTGATCATCCTGCACTAATAAAGCAAGAAAGGAAACGTATTAGTGCAGACAACTAGAAAGGGAAAGGTCTGAGGTGCAGCTGGCTTCAGGTCCATGTGGGCTCAGGGCTGTCTCTCCTCTTTCCACTCTTCTCTGCA